TAATAAAATAGTCAATTATATTCAAATTAACACTATATTTTCATATTTATCTTTATTTAATAGAATATTTTATTTTAAAATAAATATAAAATGATGTATTTATTATAAGTACTTTTGAAAAAAGCATATTAATTACACATTTAAATATTAAAAAAATCTTACATTTTTTAACATATAATATCCAACTTCTAACTCTTCAAAAAATACTTTATATTTTTAATAAGGGAGTACAAATTAAATTTTAAAAATATAAATATAAAATATAATTTTAATTTTTGTTATTAAAAATAGTTTTCAAAAACAATTTTTATTTTGAAAAAATAAAAAAATATTTGCATCGGATGGCATTGTACAACTACAGTGCCAATCCAACGTAAATTACAAAGGAAAAAGAAGATTCATTGATTCTTTCTATATTGGTGAGGATATTTTGCAAAATTATTTGTTTCAGAATTTTGTTGAGTTATGCTCTATGTTTCCATTTTCATTTTAAAAATACACTATGGTTTAATTTTTGGGGTAATTGTATTTTGCTTTTGTTTCCTTCTGCTAATATTCTCTAACTTCACTCATTACTATTTTTTATTAGTTTTTCCCTTTTATTGAGTTAAATTTTATTAATTTTATTTATGGAATTTTTGTTTGTGGTTTCGAAGTCCTTCAGTTCTGGTTTTTCTGTTTGTTTTAAATGACAGATATTTGTTCCTCAATGCTAACTCAATTTACAGTACAAAAAGACAACACTAAAGGCAAAGAAAGGAAATTATTGTTCCTTCAACTATTGATCTACAGTGATCCAATAGATTTTACAATATAAATAGACTAGATCTTCTCCATGCGAATGTAATGTCTTAACATTTAAAAGATAAAAATAAATATAAAGATTCAAATTAAAAAATATTTAGTATGTTCATAATTTATTATTTTATGTAGATTAAAACTAAATAAAAACTTATTCTATTTTAAAATTTGTTATACACATGCATACTAAAAATATAAATAATAATTTATTTTATCTAAAAAGTGTTGTCCGGTGTACGTTAAAATTTTTTAAAAAAATCTATTTACAATGAATTACCTATATACATATTAAAAAATATAAATACTTTATCATAAAAATATAAGAAAAATTAATATACAGGTTCCTATAATTTTTTAATTTTAAATTAGGTTTTGATAGTTTATTTTGTCGAAATTAAACTCTCGATAGTGTAACATATGCCAACAAATGAAGGTTAAAATTATTGATGTGAAATTATTTAACATAGAATGATATGTTATTTAACACATATATACTTACTAGTCTTCATCCCACGCGTCAGATGAGAGCGTATATTTACATGTAAAATTTTAAGATATTATTTAAAAAAATTAATGTTGTTTTTCAGTATAAAAAATAAACATAAATGTTATGAAATCTATATAACGTAATTATAACTCAATTTGACAATAAGAGTGGAGTGGATATAAAATGCGAATTCAGTCTACGAATCAGGGAAAATTTTGAAATATTGCATGTTTTGCTATCCTAGTATTTCTTATTCTCGTTCGTCTGAAAATTTCCTTTTGCTTTTATTGGAATTACTTCCTTCGTTAAAAAATATAAGGTATTTTTTAAGAAATTATATATTTAAAAATGTAAGGCATTTTTAAATCTTTCGAGGTATAATCATTATTTTTTTAAGTACCCCTATTGATAATGACTTTATATTTATTATAGAGTGTTTAATAGGGATAAATATAAAAAGATAGGGTTAGTTGAAAAGTAAATAACTACTTTATTTTAGTTAAAAATATTTTATATTTTTAAAAAGAGGAAGTATAACATTTTCCAGCATTTAAAAATTTTCTTGTCCTCTGAAAATGCGGTTCCAGAAAATGCATGCTGAGTCAAAAATAAGAAAACTCAACATTCTTGCAGCTTGTGCCTGAAGAATATGCATAAAAAAAAACTTTTAAAAAAAAAAACTCTTAAGTCTTAACGGACATCTGCCGGACAATATAGAAGTAATGATTTTAAAATCTTTTTTCACTAATTTCCTTCAAAAATATAAGACTTTTTTTAAAACTAAGAACAATATGTTTAAAAACACAAGACATTTTGAGTATTTTAAATTAAAATTAATGAGATTTTTAAAAAAACCCAGATTAGTGAGCATAATTAATAAAAATTTTAAATTAAAATACCTTGTTAAAGAAAGATAAATATAAAAATTATATGTAATTGTAAAGATAATCAACTAAATTATTAAGATATAATTTGATTAAAAATATTTTACAATACTAAACAGAAGGAGTATAAGTCATGCATTCAATAAAATACGTAATCAAAATTTAAGAGTTGTTTAAAATTTAAAAACGAGAGACACATTGTTGTGAGACACGGAATAGTTTTATAGTTGTTTTTATTTTTCATTTTTAAAATATATTATATTTAATGCTTAAAAATTAATGTTAAATATAGTCAATTGTTAAATATAACCAATGACGACCGTTATTATTGGCCTTTTTATTTGAAATTATATTCAAATTAACATGATTTAAACAAAATATTTTCATCATTTTAATTTTTTTAAAAAATAATTGTTTGGTCCCTTTGTCATTATTTTTAAATTTTTTAAAATTTTCATTGCATTTTGATGTCACCGAGATGAACATTGCACGATCGCGTATTGACAGGCGAGCTTATACATTTCATGAAACTTGGGAGAATTGCATTTTCATGACATGTAATTTCATTACATCATCACTGCCAAAAGAATATGCCCCGCGCAAAGCATGGGCTGGGTTAAGGAAAAATCCACTTATTTTATTTTTCCTTTTTTGTTTGTCTTTGGATATAATGTGAATGTATTTTTAACTAATAATATTTTAAATGACATGAGGATACATCAGAGGTTAACGCTTTGTTTTTGAATAAAAGAATTTTTAACTCTTCTCTATTTCATGTCATTAAAATCACTCATGAGAGATTTTATATCAAACTCTTTGATAATTCCCTTTTCAATCCACATGAGCAAAATGGATTAATTTCTAATGACATGACAAATTAAGGTTTAAATCCCATTGAGAAGATGTCTACATTTAATATTTGATCATATCTTAAACATGATTGTTTTCATAAGAGGATACCCATACACGAACAGCAAAACAAATAAAAGCATCCATCATCTTACTCGTTATGATACATGGTCTTAACAGTGTTTATAATTGGAAAAAAAAAAAACATTTGTACTAAATCAACTAAAAAATAACTTTTAGGCACATGTTTAAGTTGGGTTGTGTTAAACTTTGTCCAACATGAGCTTGGTCACTTTGCTTGTAGAAGGCAGGATAAAGTCACAGTTGGAAAACTCCAAAAAATATAGTTGACTGGCATATCATTGTATTAATATTTCAAACAATACAACAATAACAACAAGCTTTGTCCCATTGAGTGGAGTTGGATACATGAATTGCATAACATCACTATGCTATATCATTAACCAAGCTTTTAATAATATTGTTAATTGGGAGATCTTATTCAATAACTTTTATAAGTGTTTTCTTTAATTTTTTTTCTACCCTTCTTTATAAGGCTCAAGGATTATTTATTTCACTTTTATTATCGGTGCCTCCCATAACCTTATATATACATATTCAAATTATCTCAAATAACTTTCTTTCAGCCCTTTAATATATGACACGCTTGCTTTTTCTCGTGTACGCTCATTTCAGATTTTATCTGTTCATGTATGCTTGCCCATCTATCTTAACATTCTTGTCTCTACTACTTAACTTTATATTCTGACTATCCATTTAAAGCCCAACATTTACTATCATATAACATAGTTGGTCTCATAGCAGTTCAATAAAACTTTCCTTTAAATTTATTAAGTACATTTCAATCACATATAACTCGTTCACCCTTTCTTAAATTAAACAACCTAACTTGTATCTTGTGTGCAACATCTCCTTCAATTTGTTGTATGTGTGTCAAAGGTGTGTGTGTGTCAAAGTCTCACATTAACTAAAAGAAAGACTCTCCTAGTGTATATATACTAAAGAATGAAGTGTGTAACATCCTAAATTTTAGATAAAAAAATTATAAAATTTAAGTTTTTTTTAAAATGATGATAATAATAGGAATTTATATTATTTGAGGTTATTTTAATAATATGGGTAGGCATTTAATTATGAATTTAAAAACTTAAGTTTAAAATTATATAAGAAATATTTTGTTAAGATATAATTTTAAGATTTAAAAAAAAAAATTATGTGTGTGTGAGAGTTAAAAAAAAAGAAAAGAAAGTAAAAAAAAAGGGGAGGGGGTTTAGTCCCACATCGATTAGATGTGGGAATGAAAGGCACCTCCTCATGTATAAAAAGAGGAGGTGCATTGTGGAGGAAGCATGAGGAATTATTTATTACAATTTGTGAAAATTGCAACTAAGGGCCCAAGATGCAATTTGTGAAAATTGCAAGTAATGGCCCAAAGGTTTGAATAATTAAATGCAAACCTATAGTTTTTTTAATATAATTTTAGGACCCACAATCCCATTTTTATATTATTTTTCTCTCTTCCTCTCATGTTGCTCGGTGTTTTCTTGCAAGGGGGGATTATTTTCTTTTTCTTCAGGTATGTTCTAACTTTCCTGTTTAGATTAGCATTTAAAAAATTTATTTAATTACAAAATTAATTTTATAGTTATTTTCCAAATAATATTAGCTTTTTAGTGATATGATTATTTTGTAGGATAGAGTAAATATTCTGATTAGAATTTTTTTTATAGGATAGTTAATCTGATGATATGATGGATTAAAAATATAGGTTAAAACTCTTAGGGATATAATAAATATTATAGAATATTTTCTTGAGGTTAAAACTCATGTTTAAGAATTTTTGAGTTAAAATCTAGATCTATGTGGTTGAATTTATGTGGAATCTGAGATTTAGGGATAAACCTCTGATTATTAAATATTTATTTAAGTATGAATAGGTATTTTTGAGGTTATAGAAAGGTGATTTGAGGTTTCAGGATAATTTTAAAATTTTTAATTTATTTTTGGATGAATTTTTAGAATATAGAAGGATGAAATTGTGATACTAGAAGTGATTTGAGGATAAAAAAAATAGTTTATTAGGGTACGAGAATTTTAGAAAAAGAATTTGGGAAGTTAAATGAGGCATAAATCTTAAATTAGTATTAATATGGATTATAGATCTAAGACTTTCTAATTCTTTAAATTAGAGTTATTTATTTTAATGTAAAATTAATATATAGTATTGTGAAATAATTATGTAGATTATATTGACAAAGATAGTGGTGAAAAAGGAGTTGTGAAGGGGAACTTGTTATTCAAGACACAAGGTAACCATTATTAATGTGTTGTGATGAGTGTGTTTGTGAATGGTTATGTGTTGACTTGTTGTTTGGAAAAAACTATGAATTATTGAAAATAAATACTGTTATATACTTGTTTGAAATTATTGTCAAGTGGGTCAAAAATTTATTTTTATTTATCATGATGAGATATTATTGTTCGGATATATTCCTGTTTGGATATTTGAATGATGCATGACTTGTCAGGGTATTTTAATGTATGGTGTTAATGGAAATTTCTGTTCGGTTAATTATTACCACGTGGTAAGCCCTCATTGGACCCAATGAGTGGCCTGTCGCTTGGTCCAACTCACCTTTGGCCGGGTGATTTGGCGTCCGAGCATGGCGAAAGGAGGATATAAGGTGTAGTCATGCAAATTAAATACTTGTTCGGTTTGTTTGAAAATATTGTTCGGTTAAATGTTTTGTGTGCCCACTTAGCAATCGCATGATTAGTTACAATCGCATGCATCATTACATATTAATTTTTGGTTACTGGGACTTTTAAGTCTCATTCCCCGTGGTTAATATTTTTACAGGAGCGAGTCCGGCCGAGAAAGCACCAGAGGTGTAACTATGGTGTATGAAACACCATCTTTTACGTTGCCTCTTATTTTGGATTATACAATGTATCTTGTGCCAACTTAGGACATATCTTCTTTGTGAAGCATGTAAACTCTAATCCTTTTTATTAAAAGTATTTATTTGACCAAGAGGATTATGTTTGTCTCTCTTGATTCATGACCTAATTTAAATATCATGCCATGAGGATCCTGACTGTCCCTCATGGTTCTAATTGCTTTTTTGAGATATTTTAAGACCTGTGGTATATTGTCTTGGATGTATCATGGTAAGAAAATTTTCTACCATGATAATGGTTTTAATAATTTGTGAAAAATCGGTTTGTATTTTTAAGGGTGTTACATATTGGTATCAGAGCATTATGTTTCGAGCCTCTATTTTAGTAACACTTATTTAAATTTTTGTTTGAAACTATTATTTGTGTGAATTTAATATGTATTTATTATGTATGGTGCATTGCATATAGTCGGTTGGCAATACACATTATTATAGTGCTTCTCATTGTATGGCCATTATATAGCTAGGCTAATTTTATTATTTATATCTTGTATCCTTTAGGAGGGGAGAGAAAATGCCTGTTACTCGTGGTAACTCAGGATTCCAACATGAGCACCTGCCACCGCCACTGCCAAATGAGGAGCCTGACTTGGCGGAATTAAGAATGCTTGTAAAAACATTAACAGATAAGGTTCAAGGATACGAACAAGAGTTGACGGAGCTAAAGAGGCAAAAGGTAACTGAAAATGGAGATAGGGCTCATTTTGAAAGTCATGTGGGGGAAGGCAGTTCCTCACATCCTGCCACTCCGAGAGATCATGAGTCTAGAAGGAAGGAAATTAGGCAGGAGGAACAGAGAGCCCCACCGACCATTACTGATGTGTGGGAAACTGTTAGGAAGTTTAACCTTCCTACGTTTGATAGTAACCTTAAACCATCCGTGGTAGAGGAATGGGTGAAGAGACTCGAATCCATCTTTCGAGTAGTCACATGCACCAGTAATCAAAAAGTACAAGTAGCATTAGTGTTCCTAGTGAAAGGAGCAAGAGATTGGTGGGAGACAGCAGAGCCCAGGGATGATTCTACACTCACCTGGGAGGAATTCAAGGAAAAATTATTCAGGCATTACTTTCCATCAGAGTTAAGGTCTGAGAAGGAAGCGGAATTCCATGCCTTTAAGCAAGGGAACCTCGATGAGGACACATTCATTGCTAAGTTTCAGGAGTTATCTAGATACTCCACGTACCTGCAGTATAGGGATGATTCCGAATGGAAGGCTAAGCGCTTATTGGAGAAGGCTAGACCAGAATTGAGGAAACAATTGGCTCATCTAGATATCCGAGATTATGATGAAATGTGTATAAAACTACAAGTAGTAGCTCGCAGTAAGAAGGAGGTTGAGAGAGAGAAGAGGGGTTATTCATATAGTAGACCCCCAACCTACCCTCGACCCACCGGAGGCATTATGAAGAAAAACCATCAGGGTTCGAGTAGCTCATGGAACCAAGGAAGGCAGAAGGGTCCATTTCAAAGGGGCCAAGGATAGAGGAGCTATTATAGTAGTTATCACGGGTCATAGAGGATCCCAACAGTATCTACCCCTGCCCCGAGTACAGCGAGCTCTCAACAGTGCACTAAATGCGGGCGTCATCATTTCGGACAGTGCTGGGTCTGTTACATTTGTGGGAAACCCGGTCACATTGTAAAGTTTTGTGGGGACAACCAGGGCTCAAATATGAAGAACCCTTCCCAATATCCTACTATCTCTAGCCGTGTGTTTGCTCTTACTCAGGACACCATGAACTCCCCAGATGTCATTAGAGGTAACATCAAAATCCTTCATTATGATATTGTTGCACTATTTGATTCGGGTGCTACACACTCTTTTATTTCTGAAACTTGTGTAAAGAACCTTGATTTGCCTGTGTGTATTTTACCTTTTGATATGAATGTGTCTACTCCTGCGGGAGAATCTGTAAGGACTGCTAAGGCATGCCTTAACCTAGTAGTCGAGTTTAAAAATAGGAAAACAACTATGGACTTAATTATCCTACCACTGAGAGGTATAGATGTAATTGTGGGAATGAATTGGATGGCTGCAAATGGTGCTATCCTAGATTGTAAAGAGAGGAGTGTGTCTTTATCTTCTTTGTCGGTGACCCCAGTCGAGACTCAAGATCATGTTTTCTTGTCGGCGGCGTAAGTTGATAGATGTATGAAGAAGGGTTGCCAGGCCTACATAGTTTTCTTCTGTATCCAAGCTGAGATTGATGAAGGCGTGAAGAATATCCCAATTGTCAAAGAATTTGCGGATGTATTTCCAGACGAAGTCTCTGGTTTACCCCCAAAGCGCGAGGTAGAGTTCTCAATTGAATTGGTACCCGGTACAGGGCCAATTTCTAAGGCTCCTTATCGGATGTCCCCTTCAGAGTTAGCGGAACTGAAAAAGCAAATTGAAGAGCTACTTGAGAAGGGTTTCATCAGACCGAGTCTTTCACCTTGGGGATCTCCAGTCCTTTTTGTAAAGAAGAAGGACGGAAGTCTCCGATTGTGCATTGATTATAGACAATTGAACAAAGTAACCATCAAGAACAAATATCCACTTCCGAAAATCGATGATTTGCTGGATCAGCTTGTGGGATCCGCAGTTTTCTCAAAGATTGACTTAAGGTCAGGGTACCACCAATTGAGAGTGAGAGCAGAGGATATACCTAAGACAGCATTTCGAATGAGATATGGGCATTATGAATTCATGGTGATGCCGTTTGGACTTACGAATGCTCCTGCGGTATTCATGGATTACATGAATAGGATCTTTCGACCCTATTTAGATAAGTTTGTAGTAGTGTTTATTGATGACATTCTTATTTATTCAAAGGATGAGGAGGCTCATGGTGAGCATTCAAGAATCGTCTTGCAAGTTTTGAGGGAACATAAGCTTTATGCTAAATTAAACAAGTGTGAATTTTGGCTCCAAGAAGTAAAGTTTTTGGGCCATGTTGTGTCCAGAGACGGAGTTGCGGTGGATCCTAGCAAGATTGATGCAGTGATGAAGTGGGAACAGCCAAAATCTGTTACAGAGATACGAAGCTTTTTAGGTTTAGCAGGTTATTATCGTCGCTTTATTAAGGGATTTTCGCAAATTGCGATGCCCTTAACTAAGCTGACTAAGAAGGATGCCCCATTTATTTGGACTGACAAATGTAAAGCTGCTTTCCAAGAATTGAAAAAGGGGTTAACCACTACTCCAGTATTGACTATTCCTGACCCTGTGGTGCCGTACACTCTGTACACTGATGCTTCTTTAAAGGGTTTAGGATGTGTTTTGATGCAAAATGACCGAGTGGTTGCCTATTCCTCCAGACAATTGAGACCACACGAGAAAAATTACCCTACTCATGATTTGGAGTTAGCTGCAGTTGTGTTTGCTCTGAAGATATGGAGACACTACTTGTATGGATCTAAGTTTCAAATCTTCAGTGACCATAAGAGCCTGAAGTATTTATTTGATCAAAAAGAGCTTAATATGAGGCAGCGACGATGGATGAAATTTCTGAAGGATTATGACTTTGAATTACATTACCATCCGGGTAAGGCTAACGTGGTAGCTGACGTCTTAAGTAGAAAGACTATTCATGCTGCACATTTGAGGGTTCATGAATATCATTTGTGGAACAGTTTTCATGATGTTCCAGTAGATGTGATTGAACATCAAATGGCCGCACTCCAGGTAGCAGACTTTGAGAGCAAATTCTGGGAAGATCTCAGAGTCTCACAGCAGAGTGATGACTACTTAAGGAATATAAGGAAGGAGATAGTGGTAGGTAAGGCCCCAAATTTTACCATCTCTGAGGACACAGTGATGAAGTATAAAGGTAGAGTTTGTGTACCTAATGATCAAAGATTGAGGAATATCCTTTTAGAAGAAGCTCATAGGAGCAAATATACAATTCATCCCGGTATAACTAAAATGTACCATGATTTAAAGCGAGGTTGGTGGTGGCCAGGAATGAAGAAAGATGTGACTGAATTTATTTCTAGATGTTTAACGTGTCAGAAGATAAAGATAGAACATCAGAAGCCAGCTGGAACACTGCAATCGTTAGATATTCCAAAGTGGAAATGGGATGATATTTCCATGGATTTCATCACTGGACTGCCAAGAACACCCTCGAGTAAGGATGCTATTTGGGTGATAGTAAACTGTGTAACATCCCAATTTAAATTTTAATAGTTAATTTAGGTTAATAGAAATTTAAAAAAAATAATATTTAGAGGTAAGAAAATTAGTAGAAAATGATTATTAAATCTAATTTAGGATATAATTCTAAATTAAAAAAATTTTAAAAAAATAAATTTATTAAAAAAAATTAATTAAAAAAAATTAAAATTATTAAATTATTATTATAATAAAAAAGGGGAAAAGGTATGCCAAAAAAAAAAAAGGAAGAAGAAGAAGAAAACGAATTTGCTTTCGGCGCCGCATGAAGTAAATATAAATAATAATAAAAAAAGGGGAGAGAGAGAAGAGAATAATAAAAAAAATGTGTGGGACCCACTGAATTTTTATAAAACTCACCCGTTTCCTTTCATTTCTTCAATTCCTTTCCTGCGCGCGAGCTGAGGCGGAGAGAAGCGAGTTGCCGGTGCGAAATATCTAAATTTTTAAGGTAAGAGTTTTTAATAGGATATTTAGGGTGTGATTTTAAGCTTTTCAAGACTAAGTAAGTGTTCTAAAAATTTTTCTTAGTCATCTTTCTTCTTTGGTTTCTGATTTTGTAGTGGTAGAAAATTTAAGATCTGAAAGAGGGATGAATTTATGTTGAATAAATATGGTTTTTGAGGTTGTTAGTAGTATAATAAATATTCTAGAGTATAAATTTATTGGTGATCTTTGAATTTGTGGCTTATGGATCAAATTCTAGACTAGATCTGAAAACATATGTTGATTTATTGAGGTTTAGATGATTATTTGGGATGAGAAATAAATTATTATGGCTATAGGATTATGATTCTAAGCTAGAGACTTAATTTTTAATTTTTGGGTATTTTAGGTACGAATTTATGAAATAAAAAGAAAATTTTGATAATAAAAATTAGTTTAGAAGTTGATTTTTAGATTATTAATGTTTAT